GGGAGGGGGGGCGTACTCTTATGTTTTGCATGCCTTAGCGGTTAGACCATTGACCACGCGTCCTCGAGAGGACGGAGCATTGTTCCCATAGGACCGATCACCGATGGCCAATCGTTCCTTCCTACTTTGCGAAAGGTGGCTCAAAAATGTCTTCCCTTGTTTGTCTATCCTAACGATATGCCTTCCCGCCTTTTGAAACCACTTCCTACTCCCCAGTACAGCTACCGCCCTCTCCTCTTTATTCCATGCCTCAAACATCTCCCTGTACGTCCCTTGCATTTTCCCCCAGCTCAGTCATGTACACTTCCCTCTCCTCTTCGACCACGGACATTCCGCGACTACATTAACACGGTGTTCACATTGGAAGCCGCAATCACATTTAAACTTGTCGTTTTCGCCGTCTCCCGGGAGGGGGGGGGGTGGGGGGCATGTTGCTTGTTTGTGTTCTGGACAAGAACTATGAGGCATGCTTTCATCCCCCCCGGTAGACGATGTACCAGTCAGTCCCTACGCGTGCCTATGTTAGTCGCGTTTTTTTTTATGTGTTTGTCACCTCCCTAGCATGGGCGGTGCGGCCAGGATCATGTTGTGCGGCGATTTGTCGCTGCACATTGTTGAGACCATTTTCAGATGGTGAACTCCGTCTTGATCGCTAATATCTTTCCGGTTGTTCTCCGCATACTGCTGTTGTAAATGACGCGACTCTTTCTCAGCTTGCCGCTGCTGTAACGTTGCTCCTCTTTTTGCTGCTCGTCCTCCTGCTTTCGTCTCTCCCCGGTTGACACCGGTTCAGTTTTTCAGAGTGGACACGAAGGACGTGACTGAGAGGTGGCTTCACAGCATTCTCTCCTGGAGGGTGAGGCAGAAAATGAAGCAGTAACAGTAGCAGTAGCGATAGCAGTAGCGATAGCAGTAGCGATAGCTGCAGCAGCAGTAGCAGTAGCAGTAGCGATAGCAGTAGCGATAACAGTAGCGATAACAGTAACGATAGCAGTAGCAGCAGCAGCAGCAGCAGCAGTCAGGTATGTGCCTAGTAATATCGGCAGCAGCCCGGCGCTCTCTGCGGTGGTGTACTTTATTTTGGCCGCGTGGAGAGAGTGGTCAAAAGGCGATGTTTCACCTTGAAAACAGAAGGTTAAATAGACCACGGCGGTTAAGCGAGGTGTCCAAGGGAAACACTTGTTTCTTGTCGCCCTGGTAGAAGAACCCGATGGCGTGCTTCCTTATTGAGCCAGACGTTATTCTCTTTGCCCTCGCTTTTTTCCTTGCCAGAGCGAGAAACGGTAGTAAACTTAAGCGTCGAAAGGTTCCCTTGTAAAACATCATGCTTGTAGTCATGGACTTGCCGTTACTCTGCGTTTCTAAAGTCACGCCAAAAACAATTCAGAGGTTGCCGACCCGGGTTCAGACCCAGATCTTGTGATTCTTACACCAGTCAGCATGGTTCACGCTTGCCTTTGTCCCGTGTTGATCTGACCCCATGATATTCATTTGTTTTCACTCGTGCCATGCTAAAGCCCCCCCTTTGTTGTTTGTTTGCGTATCGTGTCGGCCGCGTGGCTTCCAGCGAGAAACGGGATTCCTGGACCTAGTTGCAGACAACCCAGACGCATACGGACCGTTCTGGGTAAGTTTTTTTTTTTTTAATGAGCAATGAGAGGGATATTTTTGTTTTGTTCGCTTGCTTTGCCCTTCATGTGTCGTGAACTAAATCTCGTTTGATTGGAGGAACATCGTTGTTTGCGGAGAGGAGGCCTTGGGTGGTGGGGCAGGGAAGGGGGGTAAGAGAAGAGACGGGGAACCCAGCCAGGGCAACTCCTTCGAAGCACATGCCGGAGACGCCTATTCGTCTATAGATGCTGACATTTGATGTTGGGTCCTTGGCGTCGATTTTTTCCCCTTAAATAACTGGCATGCGGACAAAAATCTCGTTGACCAACAATCCCGCCTCCTTGCCGTGTCTTTCCCCTCCCCCCTCGTTTGGAACAACGCCTTCTTGTTCTCGTCCAGAACTCCACGTCGCTGATATTTC